TACTGACAAGTGGACTGACTCATGTTGGTAGATGCAGACCACCTAGTTGGGGTCTGACAGACAAAAGTAACCGATGCTTAGAGACCCAGAACGAAGTGGCTCAACGTCGTTCGCAACGACGCAGGTGCATTCACTGGTTGCGTTCTATGCAATCCTAATCTCCTGAACTCGTCATCACTTCTACCCTTCTCTTTTTAAATTTATCTCACTGAATTACACTTCTTCAATAATATATTCCAACCTAATCTTCTCTATTACGCTAATACTTCTACTATCTCTAATACTATGGGATTTGAACTGACCGTTGCGTCTCTGTGCTGATTCAGTATCGCAACCCGAACTGATGCACTTACCTACGAAGTTCTCCGTCGTAACTCACTGACTGACTCGTATGCAACTAAATGTCGGTGTGTGAACTTTTTATTGGCATTCGTAATTTTGTGAGATGCTGGTTGAGAAAATTGCGACTTTTATTAGAACTTTTGATTTTGATTGTTCATCGGTTCTGTACTTGTGAAGATAGGGACGAGCTTCACAATGACGGGAGGATAAGTGGTTTTTCTACTTAAATGCATACCTTTTCAAAAGATAGAGCAAAGAGTGGTTCAAAATGTCATGATGCACTACTAGTCTCGTGATGTGATAGTGATTTGTTGGACATGCACCAGAGTTGTGTTGAAGTTGTATGGTTTTGTATTATATCAAACTAATTTTACAATTGTGTGTTCTCCATTTTTTCTGAGAGACTTCGAACTTACATTAGAGTAAGACTTTCGTTTTGAGTTTTGCGGTCACGAAATCTTCCGTAGTGATTATTATACAGGTAGGTGGGTAGGTGTACTTTTGTTAGTTATTTTTTTCCACAAATTTACGTGTCATATTGCGTGTCTACTGTGTGTGTGTGATTTTTCTTGTGTTCCGAGTTGTAGGCCTAGACTTTTCAGCCCAGGATTCATAACGATGAATCTCAATATCACCGAACATAGCTTACCATTATATAAGATATTTATCATACCCATCCTTGAAAATGGCATCCTAGTAAACATTAATCGCAAGCAAAGTGGTTTGCTTAAAGTTGAAGGGGTTCGAAGAAGATTTTATCAAAGCTCTTTCGGGGTACTTCAGTAACAATGATTAGCACCAAATATGTCAACAACTTAAATCGGAACCTCTTTGGATCAGGCATAGTTAAACGTCACCGGATTCTAACCTAATCACCCGACAGGGTCGTCACTGAATGTGAAGCAGTGTAATGACCCTCGTCAAGGCCAGATGCAACCAACGGGCATCAACCGATTGCATGTCATGGAAAAGCGCACGCGACAAACGTTCTACCCTGTACTATTGCTAAATGTTGATACCAATATGCACTGATACCTAATAAGAGTGGCATTTCTAGTGTTTAGTGGTAATCGATTCGAGATTGACTATGATCACCACTAAATATTAATTACTAGCCCGTCACTGTAAAGATAAATAAATCCAAGGTAAAGAATATATTTGCTGGTGATTTCGTGGTGTCGAAAGAACACCGAAATCACAACAAGAAAGTGGGCGACATAAAGAGCAGCATGTAACGAAGAATGGCAGCAACACAAACAGAAAGTTGCGCGTAAGTAAGTGTTTTTGGTACAGTTAAACAAGAGGAGTACAATAAAACAATTATCGTTGCAATTGAGTACAATAATAAATGTTTCCATTTCACCAATTGCGTTCTCCTCATGGAAGCATTCCACCACAAGTGAATCACCTAGTTTCTATGGTGGTATGTCCAGGTTAAGCATTAACCTTGCGTCGCTGCCATCATTCATAAGTTGCTGCTCGTTGTATCGCCTTCTTTCTCCTTCAAATATATTCTTTACACTGGATTTATTTGTGTTCCTTGTGATGGGATAGTAATAAGTATTCAGTGGTGATCGTAATCAATCTCAACTCGGTCACCACTAAAACTTTCTCTCCTAAAGTAGTTTATGGATCCTTATGAACACCGGTACAACTGCCAATGGTTTATGCAAACCGGTTGTGGCGTAGATCAAATGAACTGGTAATGTAAGAAGAAACAAAGAATTAGTATTACGTTTTTGTTTTTGTGTAAATATTCGAAGTCCACTCAAGTTAATGCTTATTACAATGATTATAATTCATTGTCTGAGATACCTAAGATATTTCGCTCCTACTGCTCCACAACTTTTTAAAAATCTTGTCTTACATTTACTGAAGTTCATTGACATTTCATAAACCTAATAACTTTACCACGTATATATGACGCTCACGAATCTATATCTGATGATCTTTCTCTGTTCTTAATTGTGATCCTGATTGCACTTTTCTACATTAACATTACATGCATAATTATGGCGTGTGAACATTATTAAAATTCTTGTATATCACTGCACTTCTTATAAAACCTAGATCTGTTCATTCATATCACTTATGTTTGAACAGGCTGTTTGTAAATAATTATATTGATAAAAATAATCTATAGTCGAGTTACCGCCTTCTCTGATTCGGTCAAGATACATCTTTTCTGGAAACTCATTCTATGCCTAGAATTCGATGAGTGACATCACAATGCACTGACATGCAATCGATGACGTCTCCCTACATACATCTGACAAAATGATTTTCATTTTATTCCTTGCTCTCTTACGAACATTTATTTCGATGGTATTAAAACAACAAAAAAAATTGAGAAAACACACGCAGTTATCCACGGCCTCTGTGACAGTTATGATGTCTACTTATATCTAGTTATCGCTTGAATCTCTACTGCAGAACTTAAAGTCAAACAGTTTATGTAACTAGTCTTCAGAACTCTTTAATTTGTAAGTAGGTTTTACGACTTCTTTTCTGAATTTTGGATATGATGTGGGTCTAAAAACAGTCCATCCTAGTAATGTTTTTATTACGTATTAGTATTTCTTCTCCCCTAAACTCTTGCATTACGCATAGTGTGCTCCCGGTATAATAATTAGCGGTGAGACTCTGCCAGATTTCTAATAGCAGATCGGCAATCGTTTTATTATTTTGTTAATCACAGATTTCTTCAGTTTATGTCCTGGCATCCTTCCGTCTTAAATTGTTCAGTTCGGTCTGATGAGTGCACTTCAGGAGACGCATTTGTATTCATCTCCATTTTGCAACCACTTACCATTCGGGTTATCAATGATACTTGATACCTATTTGACCCTAACACGTTTAATCATTCCAAATGTATCAATGTTATTACACACTTGAAATCATCAATCAATCATTGTAAGACTAACACCATTAGAAGCCTGGAAGCACTGAAAGACGGCCGTTTCGTCCTGGTATGGGACTCGCCGGCAGTGCGCAACGACGACTCCTGCACCTCGCAGGATTCGGACCCGGGACCTTCGGCATTGTAGACGAACGCCTTACCAGCGGACCACTGGGCCGGCATCCAACGGTGTTAATGCCTAACTCTGATTGATCTAGGGATTTTGCGTGACCTCACCCATTTGTCTTTGGTAGTTACTGCCTACACCCGACAGGGTTGAACTCCATTGGTCACGTCTTCTCAACTAGAACTCCGAGAATTTCCTCACGAAGCTAGTCACTAGTGAGCACTGTTACCAAAACTCTGCCCCAAAATATCAATGTTATGTTTGCACAATTATTCAAAGGAACATAACCTATGACTTCTGCGTCTTCTAGTCTCATCCTATGGCATTCACTTTTAATCATACATGATCTTCAAGTGAATTAGTAGATCCGTAGTGACTCTCTGTACTGCATAAGTCCTTTGATCTGTTGATATGTAGATCCCTTTGTAACAGAAAGTGACGTCTTTCTGAGAACTCTTCAGCATTACAACTCTTAGTCGACCTGTATTCATTGTCTCTATACATCCTTGCCTAAGACAGATAAAGCAAATACAGTTGGCTTTTACTTGAGACTATTGGTCTTTCACTGTCAGCGCTGAAAAACGTGGGCATCAATAAACTTCATGATCACTAAAGCATATTCTGCAACTAAGTCTTATAGCTATACTATTTTTTGGCCCGGACTGTGAGTGACAATTCATCTCTATGTTGTCTCCCCTTTTAGGATGGGTTGCTTACGATCCGAATCTACCACTGACGTCTACTTCACGAGACCCTGTAAGCTTAACGAGCTCAACATACTTGAGTTTCCAATCATTTTCTGTCACTTTGACGACTGTATCTGCTCACTTTATATGAATTCGGTGGAGCAACAACTTTGTTTTTAATTCATCAATAGGTTTAAATAAACCGCATAATTCATTTGTTCCGAAATTATAGCGCAATTTTTTCACCCTTATAACTAGATGTGGTTACTGGTCATCATCATTATAATAATGCTCTCACCATATTATGGACTTACTAATGTTTCTTTAGCAATTTTAAATGACTATTCTAATGTTGCTCTGGCCTTACTATAATCGGCAGAATGTTTCATCAAAACCCTTCCCTCGATAGCCGCTTTCTCGTTACCTTCGAAATAGTGTATGCGATGTTATAAAAGCTGATCGTCCTCGACGAAGTTTGATGACACGCATATCTGAAATAGTTTTCTAAAATCCCAGTAAGCCGTTGGTTGTCCATCAAAGTAAATCATCTCTACTTCTTGACCGCTTGACATAACACAACGGTCAGTTTTTCTTTAATCATTCAGAGAAACCTTTTCTATGATAATCATTCAACGAAGCTAATTCTATGTTGTCCATTCTGTATACTTTAGGTCACTAAGACGCGGCATCAGCTTGTAATAGATCATTTTAGCCATTGAGTTTCCGTTAAGATTTAAATATCATAGCTAGGACACTTATTTACTTCCTTATTTTTCTGGAGATATTTCTTATTATCCTACATTGAATGCTAAAATATTTTTCAACTTAAACTTAAGACCTCGCGCTCCAACTATCCTAAGAACTGAATAAAGGCCTACGACAACTACGTTACGGACTTTTGTTGTATATAGAATGAAGAGGGAATAAAACAATTCAATAAGTTGTCAGACAATCAGTGTAGCTTACAACCAAGTTCATTAGTGCATAAATTACATTCATTCTAAAAACATAAAAAGATTTTATTGTTTCCTTTTTTTTTTGAAAAGAAAATCTTAATCCTTAAAAATCTCTTTGAAATGATAAAAGCTTAATAGATATAATTAAGTTATTATATAATAATTCATCTGTATGGTTGATCTTAGTTGTGAAAATTAGTCACTTAGACAAAACAAGGTAATCATTGGTTTAACAAGAACGAAACCGACACATTTGATTCTTGTAAACGATTCAACTTCGTAAGAATGGATACTAGTCGACAGCAACCTCTGGTTCAATATTAAATATGATTATTTGAACAATGAAGTCTAGAATAAAACGTTACGTTGAAATTTGGATCTAATTGTTTTGTTTGCATTTCTTTTATTACTTTATTCATAATATAATATTCTGTACAATCATAAGCAATTGGTTGAAAATTTTCATGAAATTTATTTATAAAAAACTCCATTCGTAATGGTATGAACGGCAGATGCGCCTTACCAATTATACAAACACTTCGACGAGTGTTGTTACTTAAACAATTTTGTTTGCCCCAAATGATGTAGCGTGCTATAAATGTTGATGATGGATTTTTTTCATTGTTTATACAAGCACCAGGAGCACCAAATTGTGGATTATGATTTAAAGTAGGAAAATACAATTCATCTGGATGCTTTGGTAAATGTTTCTCAGCTTTCAATGCATCAAGTATTTTTTGTGCCTTTGAATTATTTTTTTGAAAATATATAAATTCTCGTTTTAATGCCATATAGAAACTTCCTTTGTTCCAAACAATCTATAAGAAATAAAGGATAAAAGTAGAATATGAAAAAAACTGACATCAGTTTGAGTTTGTTTAGCATGTATAGTCATTGATATTTAGTAAATTTTAGAATTTAATTAGACTTCAATGAAAATAAATAAGCTATAAAGTTCAAATACTATGGTGAAAATGACTAAACACCACAATAAAGCACTAAATGTATGCGATAACTGGTGGAGTTATGTATTTGAGTGCACCACAACGTAGCTATTTTATTAGAAGCTCTCCAGATACCCATCTTTTCATAATACAACCAGTTTCCTGAAGTGAATTTATTTTCTTTAGCACTCAGATGACTTGCTCATACCTTTTTTTAATTGAAAAATGATCATTAGCATCGGTTACACATTGTAAAGTGAACGCATGACAAGGAGAGAATAAACTTTCACTAAAAATAGAGTTAAAGTGTAATGTTGAAGGAATTTTATGCAATCAGTACTCAGTGTACTTATCATTATTCAGTTAAGAATTGTAAGAGACTTCAGTGTACCCATTTGAATACTTGAAGATTTATTAGTAACTTTTCACATACGACTGCAGCTTAATCACATCGTTCAGTATTACTTCGAATTCGAAGTCAATGATTTTTAAAGACAATTTGTTCCATTCTATAGATAATCGGATTGAACCATTAATAAATAAACTTTGAATTAAGAACCATTCTGGAATATTCTTGTGTAACAGGAGATGTAGAATCTTGTGGAGCATTCGTGGAGAAACTTATCTGTTACATCAGATACCACATAAAACAAACATATACCCACGTTTTGAGGTAACTAAATAGTTACATATTAGAGGTTGTCTGTTTCGAAACCTTCTATAAGGGATTTCGAATCAGTGGCAACACAGACGTATCAGTTAGTTGTTAGCACGTAACTGGCTGCCATTCAGTAAACATTTTATCGTGACTTACTTATTTTCTGTGAATATTATGTTTATTATTACCTTTAATGACTGGAAAGCCGATTATGAAATGTGATCAAGATGAAGTGATGAGTGACAGACTTTGTAGTAATGCAGCAATGTTATCAGAGTAAAACAGTCTTACAAGTGATGCAGCGTTTCTTCCCTCTCCCAGGTGATGTGTTATGAATTCAGTTTATTTTGTTAGTCTTAATGCAATGTGCCGGTGGAACAATTTATATGCATATACAAATATACACATATACATACGTATGTTTGCAAACAACTCCGCCAGTAGAACCTTTGGGGCTACTGCCGGTCCCAAGCCCGGATAAAGGAGGAGGGGTTGAACATGGGGTTGACGCCCCTATCCCCACTATAAACTAACTTGCCAAAAAACGCTAACTAGAAAAAATAAATCAAATCATTTTAACTCTGCCCTGCGAGTCGGAATAAGAATTATGACGTCGTGTGATGAAAGCTGAGTTACGTCGGAAGTCACGAGGCCGATGCCTCTTCTGATAACCAGAGTAATCATTCTTTTAGGTATATGGAACGTTCGAACATTGTGGGAGACTGGAAGACTATTTCAAGTTGCGGCAGAAATGAAAAGATACAACCTCGAGGTGCTCGGCATCAGTGAAACGTATTGGACACAGGTAGGACAACTGAGACTAGCTTCAGGGGAACTGCTGTTATACTCTGGTCATGAACAGAAAAATGCTTCACATACACAAGGAGTTGCGCTGATGCTGTCTAAACACGCACAAAGGGCACTGACAGGATGGGAATCTCATAGACGCAGGATCATTAGAGCATCCTTCAAAACAAAGAAAGAGGACATTACAATGAACGTCATCCAATGTTATGCACCTACCAATGACTACAATGACGACGTTAAAGATCAATTCTACGAAAGGCTGCAGTCAATCGTCGAGAAATGTTCACCAAGGGATTTGACGATTCTTATGGGAGACCTGAATGCCAAGGTTGGAATGGACAACATTGGATATGAAGACATCATGGGACGACATGGACTAGGAGAAAGGAACGAAAATGGTGAGAGATTTGCAAACCTATGTGCCTTCAACAAACTGGTCATCGGTGGCACAATATTCCCACACAAGCGCATACACAAAGCCACATGGATTTCACCGGATCACACTACTCAGAGCCAAATTGACCATATCTGTATCAACAAAACGTTCAGAAGGACCATGGAGGATGTGAGAACCAGAAGGGGAGCTGATATGGCCTCAGATCACCACTTGCTGACCACCAAAATGAAACTGAAACTAAAGAAGCACTGGACAACGGGGCAAACAACATCACAGAAGTTTAATACAGCCCTTTTTCGGGATACCGTAAAACTCAACGAATTCAAGATAGCCCTCACCAATAGGTTCCGGGCCTTGCACGATATACTCATTGGAGAGGAAGCAACATTGGAGAACAATTGGAAAGGGATGGAGGAGGCAATCACTTCAACATGTCACGAAGTTCTGGGTCACAAGAAGTACCATCATAAGGAATGGATCTCTGTTGATACTCTTGCAAAAATTGAAGAAAGGAGGAACAAGAAGGCAGCAATCAATGTCAACCAAACAAGAGCAGAGAAAGTTAAGGCACAAGCTGCATACACAGAAGCAAAAAGGGAAGTGAAGAAGAGCATCAGAGCTGACAAATGAAAATATGTGGAAGATCTAGCAATGACGGCGGAAAAGGCTGCAAGAGACAGAAACTAGAGACAATTGTACGAAACAACAAAGAAGCTGGCCGGAAACTATCAGAAACCAGAATGACCAGTGAAAAGCAAGGAAGGCAAAGTAATCAGCAATACTGAAGAACAGAGAAATAGGTGGGTAGAGCACTTTAAGGAACTCTTGAATCGACCAGCTCCACTGAACACACCCAACATCGAAGCAGCATCCACGGACCTCCCAATTAATATTGGCGCACCTACGATTGAGGAGATCAGTATGGCCATCAGACAAATCAAGAACGACAAAGCAGCAGGACCAGACAACATTCCAGCAGAGGCAATGAAAGCAGATATGGAAGCAACTACGAAAATATTTCACATCCTCTTCAAGAAGATTTGGGATGAGGAACAAGTACCATCAGATTGGAAAGAAGGATACCTGATCAAAATACCAAAGAAAGGCGATCTCAGCAAGTGTGAGAACTACAGAGGCATCACTCTTCTTTCAATACCAGGAAAATTCTTCAACAGGGTATTGTTAAACAGAATGAAGGACTTCGTGGACGCCCAACTTCAAGATCGACATGCCGCATTTCGTAAGGATCGGTCGTGTACTGACCAATTTGTTACATTACGGATCATTGTGGAACAATCAGTTGAATGGAACTCACCACTCTACATCAACTTCATCAACTACGAGAAGGCATTCAATAGCGTGGATAGGAAAACACTGTGGAGGCTTCTTCGACACTACGGTGTGCCTGAGAAAATAGTCAACATCATACGGAATTCTTATGATGGATTCAACTGCAAAATCGTGCATGGAGGTCAGCTGACAGACTCTTTTGAGGTGAAGACCGGTGTCAGGCAAGGTTGCTTACTCTCACCCTTTCTACTTCTCCTGGTGATCGGCCGGATTATGAAGACGTCGACATCTGGAGTGAGGCACGGTATCTCCTGGACAGTTAGGACGCAGCTGGACTTCGCAGACGACCTGGCTCTTCTATCACACACTCAACAACAAATGCAAGAGAAGACGATCAGTGTAGCAGCAGCCTCTGCAGCAGTAGGTCTCAACATACATAAAGGAAAAAGTAAGATTCTACGATACAACACGACATGCGCCAATCAAATCACTCATGGCTGGGATTCTTTGGAGGACGTTAACACCTTTACATATCTTGGCAGCATCATCGACAATCACGGTGTATTCAATGCAGATGTGAGTGTGCGGATCGGCAAAGCAAGGGCTGCATTTCTACAGTTGAAAATTATCTGGAATTCCAAACAACTTTCAAACAAAACCAAAATCAGGATTTTCAATACAAATGTGAAGACAGTTCTACTGTATGGAGTGGAAACTTGAAGAACTACCAAATCCATCATCCATAAGATACAAGTGTTCATTAACAGTTGTCTACGCAAAATACTTCGGATTCGTTGGCCGGACACTATCAGCAACAACGAACTGTGGGAGAGAACAAAACAGATCCCAGTGGAGGAGGAAATTATGAAGAAGCGGTGGAAGTGGATAGGACACACACTACGAAAAGCAGGTAACTGCGTCACGAGACAAGCCCTCACTTGGAACCCTCAAAGTCAAAGGAAAAGAGGAAGTCCAAGGAACACATTACTCAGAGAAATGGAGAAAGATATGAGAAGAATGAATAAACATTGGACAGAACTGGAGAGGGAAGCCGAGGACAGAGTTGGTTGGAGAAAACTAGTGGGCAGCCTATGCTCCATTGAGGGTAACAGGCGTAAGTAAGTAAGTAAGTATGTTTGCAAACCTCCTAAGTTACATTTCAGACATAAACTTACAGTAATTTTTTATTACTGTTTTACGCACTATCAACAAGCATTGATATAACGTCGCAATGGAACTTCTATTGATCGATTCAATATTCTGTGAATCAGTACTATATTTTGAGACAGTATGCATCGTTTTAAAGACTTTTGTATAAAACGACGTTAAAAAATCTAGCTTGATGTTCACCGTATTAAATTTATACAATAAATTTCAAAAAGCTTCCATTTGTAAGCAGATTTATCTTTTCTAATTTTCTGCAAAGTTTGAAAGAACTAATACTAAGCACTGAGAAAAACTGCTTTTAAATTCAGAATAAAAGGGGAAATATGCAGGGTAATGCACAGAAATGATAAAATACGAAGGTTTAATGCTCAAACTCCAAAACGATGTCACTAGATGTAATCTCAGAGATCAAACATTGAATTAAGCAATGACTTAATTGTTGGCATCAATATAATTATTTTGAAACAGTAATTATTACAACTATCAAAGTGTTCTTTTCAGAAATCAAAACTGTCTGTAGTAATTAATTCCAGTTTTATACAATCTTCTATTATGTAACTCGAATGCTTTAGTTAAAATTGAACTTTTCATGACTATTGCATTCATTTGATAAGAATTCATTTTCTATTGGTCATGATAATAATGTCAACTATGGGTAAATATTTTTCTTAGTTACAACTTCAAATCACGCTGTTCTTTTGTAAAAGCAAAGTTACATGTACACACTTGTCAGTTTGTTTTAATTTATGACTTTTTGTCCGACTTCATATTCGCTTTACGCATAAGAAGTATGATAGCATCTAGCAATCACTGTAAAATATCTGCTTAACATGATAAACTATTGGCGCATGAATCAATACATATTTCTGCTGCTAATTTTACTACACTAAATATGTTGCTATTTCATAACCAATTATCTGTTTGAATAATAAGCATATTCGCCACTTAAATTTTAGTGGTTACTACTTAAAGGCTAACTATCTGTGTTCATCTTTACCATTTAGAGATTTAGATGAAGAAATGTATTCCTCCTGACAAAGTTGCATCCAAAGATGTAGGGAAATAAATACTTGAAATACATTTCCAACCAGTATTCAATGAACATCAAGTAGTACTATGAAAATTACTAAGCTAGTAGACAATATGAAATAATATTGAGAGTATTTTTAAAGTAAAATGATAAACTGAAGTTCAAGTAGACAGGAAATAAACCTAAATTTAACGGATGAAACATAACAGGATGGATTGGTAGGACTCAAAAAAATTATATAGTCATATGTGAGGCTTGAATACATGTTCTATCGATATATCAGTGGTTGGAGAACATCTATTCATTATACTTACGATCATTGCACTTCCATAACAAGATACTTAGTTCATTTCTCTTGTAACTCCAGCTATTCCAAAGTATAACTCTTGTAAAAATAATTTGATTGCTAGAGGGCAAAAGAGGCTAATACAAATACTTAATATTCCACACACCGACTGACTACACTGGTCAAAGAATTTGTTAAAACTGACCAATTAGTCATATAAACAAAAAGTGCACTGATATTATCGATTCGATAGAAGTGCACTGAAAGTCAACTGAAAGAAATTCATTGACAGTCAAATTTTGAACTTTCGTGCTTATTTTTTTTCTTCACTGGTTGCAATTCAAGATTGAACAGATTCGATTGTAATTTGTTTATTATTTCACATTAAAAATCTAGCAAAACTGATGATTCTAAATCTTTAAAGTATTCAGCAAATTAGCTTTCGTAAATCAATCATACACCTTGCTCATCTTGAGAACTTTTCAACTAAGTTCGGTAGAAGTGGCTAATTTGGAAATTTTTATATGTAATACATACTAAAACCTGACCATAGATAAATTTATCGTAAGACCTTTTGATTTTCGATTGAAATGTCATTAACTTCTTCATGTATGAAGTTCTAAACCTTGAGTCTAAACAAAACTTAAATCAAATTCATTTGAAGGTTTTGTATTTTCTGTTAGATACAATCAAGTTTGTATGGCTTCATGATCACTGTCGAAGTCAGATCAATACAAGTAGTTCTTCCCTTTTACATTAATAAGTTTAATAGTTTTCTACTTTTTTTTTAAGTTCATATATTGACAGAGTGAAGACCCACTGAGACGATATGATAGACATCATTGAAATTTTGAAAGATTTTTTAAGTTCAAGCTCTAACCTCAAATAAATAGAAGTTTAGTCGAATGAAGTTTAAGTTAAATCAAATACTAATGAGGATCCAATTGAAAGAATTTTAAAAAAATGTGACATCTATAAATGAATCATTTCCCCCAAAAACAAACCAAATATATTTATTCATTTGAATATTATACTCTAATAGCTAGTTAGTTCTAGACATCAGTAGTAATATTACTATGAAGATATAAACTGTGTTAATCATTAGTTACAAGTTAATTAGGCTAATTATCATAACCAGCATTGTAAATGAATAAGTTCAGTATTAAATGATAAAAGCTATATGACCAATCATTTTGATTTTATAACGATTAAAATTTATTTAATTTTACCTAAGTCAACTGCCTTTTCATTACTGAAAAGACGATTTAATATGCTCCATTATTTTAACATCAAAGTTGTTGTAGGCTATATATAATTAAATATAATAGCACAATTGGTTTGAAATAAAAGAGAACACAACATTGACAAATTTACATACATTATGATTGTTACGTAATTAAATTTTATCTACATACTTTTTTAAAACAATGAAGAAATTCTCTAACTCAAAGAAATAGCTTTGCAATAATTTTATTGTCTCTCAGTGGGATGATTTAAATGATACTATTTGATTGTTTTTCATTTATTTAAATAAGTCATTAATCAAGTTACTTTAGATAACAATAAAAATGTCGAAATTAAACTACACAGTTCGGGTGTAGGCAGTAACTACCAAACACAAATGGGTGAAGTCGCGTAAAATCCGTTGATTAATCAGAGTTAGACATTAACACCGCTGGATGCCGGCCCAGTGGTTCGATCGTTAGGCGTTCGCTCACAATACCGAAGGTCTCGGGTTCAAATCCTGTGAGGTGCAGGAGTCGTGGTTTCGCACTGCTGGTGAGTCCCATGCCAGGACGAAACGGCCATCCAGTTCTTCGAGGTTTCTAATGGTGGTCTAACAATGATCGACTGATGATTTCAAATGTGTAAAAACACAAGCCTCCAAAACTCTAATTGAAAATATCAGCAAAATTAATGCTTTCCAAATTCCAATTCATTTCACATCTCTTGCATTTCACTGTAGTGTGATGGGAAAATGATGTTTTGAATTATGATATTTCAATAGGTTTTTATTTTTAACGAGTTTTTTTTATTATATTTATTTATTTATTTATTTTTTATTTTTTTTATTTTAAACGAGTAATTTCAGAAATAATAGGTATCTTTTGAAATTAAAAAAACTCATTAGATGACACTCTATAATCCATATAACGTGGACACCTTTCACGTTCCATTAAGTTTTTATTGGGAGTTGGAATTCCTAAAGTAGTTCTCAAACTGTTAATTTTGATCTTATTTAGTTGTTAACTTATTAATAAATGTTTATAATATACCATAATGACTTTTCTGTTGCTTGAAATTCTCAATTTAATAATGATAAAAAATAAAGGTATGCTAGAAAGTTCACTTAAAGTATTAATTCACGGTTGACAATTGCAAAAGTTTTATGATAAAATAAACTATCACTTACTGGAAATTCAAATGTCTTATTTGGCCATCTTTTTGGGTTAAACCGAGGGCCTAGACCTTCAACGACATTTGAACCATTTACGGCTTTCAATGCTTCAACCAATTCCCAATTTGTTCTTAATGGTAGTTCTTGTCCACTCAGATTTAGAATGTATTTCCATGTATAGTTAGTATTCTCTAATAATTTGTCCGCACATAAAAGAAACACTTCTAGTATGGAATAATAAGCCCATTCAACTTTCACACTTTCTGATCTATTAATAACTATGACATTAGGACCGAAACATTCAGCAGACTTCCGAATTTCATCATAAAATGCTTGTGGCGATTTGGAATCTACATGAATACAGTATAAATTATGCGGTCTGTATATTAAACGAAGGAGACGAACTACTTGTTTACTATTTTGATGCACAGCTATACTGAATGCCAATGGAAATTGTTGTTCTTCTTTTGACACTGTAACAGAATGTCCATAGAACAATTTAAACTGTTCGCAGTTATGTGAATTTGACAAATTGAAAGTTCTATAATCCCATAATGATTGATTGTCTTCAGAAATTTTATGACTAATGTTCCTGAAAAAATATTCACAAACTCGACCATCATTAGATAGTTTTGTTTGAATTTGATCAGCATAGAATAGATGTGTATCAGGTTGAACTGACAGGTAATATAATGTAAACAGTGGTGTGATCAAGAAAATTCCTATCACAATATTTCTAATTCCGATATAACTCAAGAATCTTTTTGTTGATCTTTTCAAAAATGAAATATACATTTTATTATACATAGTAAGGCGTGAATCAAAGTTAATATCTTATTTAGTAGAGTTTCTTTGGGTCGAAGTTTATTATTTTATTTATAGTCTTTATTAGTAGAGACTAAAAAGTACACATTATTCGTTTAGTATTATTAATTAAATACTTTTTAGTCACGAGTACGGTCTAATTTAATGAATAAATTAAAATGATTGGTTATATGTTCTTCAGTTTCAAAAAAAATAAATTATAGTTTGTTGGTTAGCTGACCTCATTAAAACAGTATTCGGTAAATCACTTTTCAGTGAATTATTATTGGTCATCTATTTTTTTTCAATTAAATTTTAAGTCCAACAAACATATAAGGACTTAAAGTGTTTGTGTCATGAGAATATCAACATTGATTTTTCGTCTAGAAGCTGTCTAGATAACGTAAATTGATGAGATTCGATAATGGGATAAAGTATAATGAATAATTCTGATTATTTTTTTTTGAGAAATGTTATCTAAATGTCTGATAAATCCAGGCGCTGTTTCTATGCTAACCGGTTTTCATTCGCAAAGTGTGTCTGAAGTATTAGAATAGATTTTTTCTTCGAGATTTGAACCAAGATCACTTCTATCATTGATAAGTCTGTTAAATGAACTGCTGATTTGATTTTTTTGCCGCTTTCATTAACCTCCAACTAAATCTACACAGCAATTTGAACATAGAGAATGGGTACAAAGTGTAAAACTAAAGACTGATGATAAGGATGTATTCGACTTCCAAAACATAGCAAAAGAGACTTAGGAAAACACCATTTCTTATTTGAATTATTTATAGTCAGATTAACAGTCAGTTTTGTGAAAAAATTAAACTGAATTGTATTTAAGAATAATAATAATTTAATAACTTACCAAGTGAACACAAATCTAACATATTTTATCATCAAGAATCCATAATTCTTCATAAGATGTGAATACATGTCACACATGATTGGAAAAAAAAATCGGTTTTATGTGTCATTCTCACTCTGACTGATTTAGCTAATACTCGATGTATCAGTAAATTCAATTAGTAATGTTACCATTAGGCTGTGAAAAAATATCATATATTAAGGGATGTTTATCGAGTAATGTAAATCAATCAATAGTTCTTTTGGTCTAATTCAAATAACAAGAAAGTAACTGCGCCATTATACATATTCAATCCAGAAGGCATAAACTTTGGAGAGATATTAAACCAACAGAAACTTTAATTTAAATTGAGAAAATAAAATTGTATGTATAAATATTTTAATAGAATTATTGATTTAAACTAAAAACGATTGTTAAGGTAGTTGGCTGAAGCATATCAATTATTTTCACACAAAATGATGTTAGATGTTTTAAGAATAGATTAAGTCAAATGGTTATTGATTTGTTTCTTTTAAGTGCATTTTACTGCATTTTACCGATCAAAGTTTGACTCCTGCCATTCAAGCGAATATCCTATTTTTTAACATGATGATAAATTAGGTCCTATTTGATCATAAGATATAAAATATGAGTCGTTTCGATTAAAGTGATCACTGGATCCTGAACAATGAATCCATAATCATAATTCTGTAATTGGAGAAGGACAGAGAACATGAAATAAAATACTGGTTGGTATTTGATCAGTATTTTGGGCATCATATTGCATAACGGCGTATACAGCATGAATAATTATGCCACCACTTTTCAGTTGGTTGAACTGAGTAGTTTGAGTGATAACAATTAAGTTAAAATTGGCTCTCTAAGTGAATAGAGCTTCATTGATCGTTTCCTGTTTGTCAACCCTTCCGCTCTACAATTGTACATTGGCCGATCAGTCCCCCCGAACGAAGCCGCTACGTATCGAAAATGTAAACCCTTTCTAACAGGGGGCTGCTGTAGTGGAATATTTTTACGAAGAGAGCGCGATTGGTAAAATGAAAACATTCATTACTATAACTAATTCTACCAGTGTTTGTTGAATTGTACTTCTTGTTTATAACACTTTGTAGCGCGCAACTTTCTGTTTGTGTTGCTGCAATCTTTGCTGTAGCAGCTCTTTAATTTCGCTCACTTTCTTGGTGTAATTTCAGTGTTCTTTTGATGCCACGAAATCACCAGCAAATATATTCTTTACCCTGGATTTATTTGTTTTCTCAATGACGGATTCGTAATTAGTATTTAGTGGTGATCATAGTCAATCACGACTCGACTCACTCACTAAAACTTATTAATAAGTAACAGTAGAATAAAATTTTTAATTTGACTCTCAGTGGAAAGTTTCAAGCACCACTCTGAATAGAATTTTAACTATCACTGTAAATAGTACAGGTGTAAAAACCTTAGTATTGTTCAAACACTAAAATATCAAATATAAACCTAAAAACTAATAAACTATTCAAAGATTTCGCCACTATTATGCATTAGAGTTTATTACTTACAATTAGCATAAGTTGTCAGTTGTATTAAAAAAATTCAATTTTTAAAATAAGCAATCTAAATTGTTCGTACTTGTCCATATTGAATAATTTGTCTATGGATATTTATGAAGGATACTTTGATTATTTGTTTATTTATGATCGAAAATATCTTTGGTCAAAGTGTTCCCAGAATATGATGAATTTGTTAATTCGGTAATGTAATGGATTGAATGAAAGAATAAGTATTTGTATTACGGTAATTTATTCCAGCTGATTTTTAAACTAACTTTACTTACTTAGGCTTGTTACCCCCGATGGATCATAGGCTGCCCATCAGTTTTCTCCAACCAACTCTGTCCTGGGCTTCCCTCTCCAGTTCTGTCCAATGTTTATTCATTCTTCTCATATCTTTCCCCATTTCTCTGAGTAATGTGTTCCTTGGTCTTCCTCTTTTCCTTTTACATTGAGGGTTCCAAGTGAGGACTTGTCTCATGACGCAGTTAGGTGCTTTTCGTAGTATGTGTCCTATCCACTTCCACCGCTTCTTCCTGATTTCCTCCTCCACTGGGATCTGTTTTGTTCTCTCCCACAGTACGTTGTTGCTGATTGTGTCTGGCCAACGAATCCGAAGTATTTTGCGTAGACAACTGTTAATGAACACTTGTATCTTATGGATGATGGATTTGGTAGTTCTTCAAGTTTCCACTCCATACAGTAGAACTGTCTTCACATTTGTATTGAATATCCTGATTTTGGTTTTGTTTGAAAGTTGTTTGGAATTCCAGATATTTTTCAACTGTAGAAATGCAGCCCTTGCTTTGCCGATCCTCACCCTCACATCTGCATTGGATACACCGTGATTGTCAATGATGCTGCCAAGATATGTAAAGTTGTTAACGTCCTGCAAGGCATCTCCATCAAGCGTGATTTGATTGGTGCATGTTGTGTTGTATCGTAGAATCTTACATTTCCTTTTATGTATGTTGAGACTTTCTGCTGCAGAAGCTGCTGCTACACTGGTCGTCTTTTCTTGCATTTGTTGTTGGGTTTAACTCTAAACAGATATTTTTGTAATGACATATTAATATGACTTTAACTTTACAGAGCATAGGATTTTTCAACTTCAGTCTACTTAAATTAATTCTACAAGAAGAAAATGATTATTGCAAATCAAATTGATGTTGATAAGTAACCTCCGTTTAAGATAATTTTTTCGAAATGTACAAACAAAAACATGTAACGAATATTTATTCAGATTTGTCTTCATGACTATTTACTATCATCGTAAAAGGTTACCTTTAAACAAGAATAGAAGAGCAGTTTAATTCATATTTAACAGTATCTGCAGTAGTTACACTATTTATGGTTTGAAAGATGAACTTCGTTTTCGTAGGATTATCTATACAGAAAAGAATATGTTGTTATGAATTCTATGAAAGCAAACTTCGTGCAACCTAACTGACTGCTAACTTCACAAATTAATCAGTTTATGAATTTATGTTTTAGTTATCAACTATGTAATCTTTAAGTTGAACCTCATAACTACAGATCGGCATTCTCTCTAACCAAATCTTTAAACGAAAATGACTAATCTTAGAAAGCCGTTGAAAATCAGAGAGAATGACTCAAATGTTTCATTTCGATCCAAGCATGTTGAGAGTTACGCAGTTACCGACCATTGATACTAGATGATGATTGCATAATAATGTTAATCCAGTGAGGTAAGCCGGTTCGTGCTAGTGGATTAGTCTGAAGGCTATGCATTGTGTAAGATACTTGATGTTTCTGATCTCAGTTCTCAGTGAGGATGCGGGTGAACACCATTAGAAAGTCTCATATTAGAATAAAATTAACCATCCAGTGTTCAATGATGATCAAATTAATATCAATCCTTGATTTAAGCTACGAAACAACAGATTGAATTCACAAGTAAAGATGAACAATGGGGTGTTTAAATTTTATCATTATCGATTAATTTTGATTAAGGATAAATTCATTTGAAAACTTTAGAAAAACCTATGATTATTCTTCAAGTTGCTTTCAATCACTGTAAGCTAATATAGATTATTATTTGCATAATTTGAATTTCCAAACAATTTATTGCCAAATTTACTCTTTCCTTTTTATCAAGAAATTATTAATTTATGCCATATTTCGCAGTTATAAAGCTGTACATTAGGAAAAAACATGCTAAACAATTTATTTTATTTTATCTTCAATTTTCCATTGTAAGTAGTTGATAATTTCTTATTGATTTATGAGATAAAATATAGTTCAGAGATGTGATTATTTTTTTTATTTAAAATCATTTTTATGTAGTACAACCACATGCACATATCATAGTTATTCGACAAAGTAAGTGTTAATGAAAAAAAATTTAAAAATAGTGATCAAATTACATTAAAGAATATTAATAAATTATAATAACAGTTGTGTATAATGTAAAAGATATTTTTGTTAAATAAATCAGTTAAACACAGTAAACAAACATGTCTAAATTAACGAACGATATGTGTTGTTATAGGTTACAGTCAATAATCAATATTTTATTGATTATCTTACTCAAAAAAATGTCATCCTAAATGCCTGGTTTAATATTTGTCGATTTTTGTTACAAACTCTTGCTTATTTTTGTACAGTACATTACATGACATCCGTGTTTGATATTAGAATTTACTGAACTTACCAACAGTTAATAGTTACTGTATGTAGGTAGTACGTAAAGACTTCAATGTTTGTGATTGAAGCTTTTTAAGTTGTACTCAGGACCTTCTACCGATTGTCTTCAATTAGTCAAACACGGTGCATGTGATGTACAATAATTTAAATTTGTGTGTAGATTTCAATCTGATCGACAGATTTCGACTGACACTAACAACTGGACAACATGATTAATAAATTGTGATCAGTTGGTGTACACATTTTATCCCCAAAATATCTATTCAGGATATGGCATATAACGTTGAGCCGTTATACTATAGTTGTATCAATAAATTAATATTCATAATTATTTTATACTAATTAATAGCTCCCTAATCTGCATTACATAAATTATATTTGTAGTGAAGAGTTTTACTGTGGCATATTTTAAATATTAGGAACATATTACACCGAGAAATAGAGAAAGATATGAGAAGAATGAACTAAAATTGGACAGAACTGGAGAGGGAAGCCCAGGACAGAGGTGGTTGGAGAAAACTGGTGGGCGCCCTATGCTCCATTGTGGGTAACAGGCGTAAGTAAGTAAGTAAGTAATATTTTAAATATTATACTTCAATGCAATCATTTTAACTTTTGTGATGAAAACATTTATTATTTTATCACATAATTGGCGTAATTTTCAATAATAACATTTTAAATACGAAACATGACCACTCATTTCATATTCAACTTGATTTATAAGCAAATTAAGCCATAAAGTGTCTACTGAAATATTATTTGAAAAATTGCTAAATAGAAATTATATGGATCCAAAGTACATTGAATCATATGACTCTGTGAACAATCAAAACATGTATTGATAAAAAGCATCATGAATATTAACTATGAGTATATCGATGACTAAAGTCCAGAGTGTAATAATTTTTTAAGGTTCGTAAACTTAGAATCGTATTACTCACTGACTGAAGACTAAAGTTTATTCTAATATTATTTTTTTTTTAAAGTTAGCAAATATTACGTCTGAAAACGATGGGAAGTGAAAATCTCATCTGCTGATCTCCATAATGTTAATTTCTTTGAAAAGTTCAATTAGTACGTTATTTTTTTGACAAACTAATCAATAATTTCTTCATCTTGATGAATATTTTATGGTCACACGTTTCTATTATGAACGTTCAAACCATGTGAATGTGCATGTGAATGAATATTGTCAGTTCGACTAGCATCTGTCAT